ATGCTTTCTAGTAAAGGACACTAAAAGAAAAAGTAGGCAGCAATATGAAACAAGCCAGAAATTTCCATTAAGAGGCTCATTTGGAATTTAAAACTGCTCATTTCATCTGAATTCGTAAAATCATTCCAAGGAAGAATCCCTCCTTCGAGCCACTGATGGGATGTTTCAAATGCTTTTTCTATATAAAGACGTGTTCGATCTGATAGAGCAAATGACATTTTTATAACCCAGAAAGAATTATTTATTCTTGGAAAAGAAAAAAATCTCGGACATGTGACCAGATATGGGAAAAATATATTTAGGGGGGTGACATTTTTTGGCATGAAATAGAAAGGAAACAGTTTTTTATGAGACACTTGGCAAGGCAGGATCTTAGAACTATTTCTAAACTTGTCCATTTGTAAAACCTCAGAGTCTGTTTGGCTTTCTCTGCTATGGGAGAAGGAAATCCCTTGGCTGGGATGGGCTGAGTCCCATAACTTTGCTTCTCCTGATAGGAATTAGTTAAATTAACTGAACTCCTGTTGGAATGTCTAGTCTGTCATCAGCTCTGCATAAAAATGAAACACATGGCATTCTAAGAGGGAACTAAAACGAGCCAATTCTCAGAAAATATTTGAATAACCCTGAAGGTTGCAGCACAATCATTCTCTCTGTCTCTTTCTCTCTGTCTCTCTCTCTGTCTCTCTCTCTCTCTCTCTCTCTCTCTCACACACACACACACACACACACAGAGCTTTAAATTTTCCTTCTGGAGTCAGACTAGGACAGACTCATATACCATTCTGATCTGGGTACCTTGCTTCAGAAGGTATTCTGCCCTCCTCAGTGGCCTAGACTTGGGGTTGAAAGTTGCTGGGAAGAAATGAATTTAGTATATTTTAGCAAAAAATACCCTTCTACGGGGTGCTAGCCAAGGCATTATTATTAAAGACATAAGGCAGTGGGCCAAAGAATAAGTATACCCTGACCTTCAATGTGGACAATGTACTCTTCCAGGTCAGCGAAGTATTTGCTTGCTGAATGCTATGCCTGAGGAGTCCTCCTTGAGTAAATGCCAAGCACAGGTAGATGCTGGGCAAGGAGTTAGCATGGACATCACAAGAATGTGCTGCCAGCTTTCCCTCCGTTCTTTTCTTCTCCCAGTGCAGCGTGGTCCTTAAAGCCACGCTCAGCGGAGATCATCCAGGAGCCGGTACACTCATCCCAACTAGTAAACAACTGTATTTGTGTCTCCTCCTCGGGGTCAACACAGTCTGTCTCTGTGTACCCATAGCACGGGCAGGCTTATTTACCGAACAAAGATTGCCGCACTGCAAAGATATGTTCTGTTTTCCTTAGGGTTGAGCGTGAGTCTAATATTCCAAAGGTGGACAGAGCTTGATTCGATAAAACCGTTCGGTCGGTGGGAAAAGCCTTCGCTTCCTCACCCCCTTTCTGGCTGTGTAAAATGTTAATCCCCGCAAAGGTGCTAAATCGTCACCAATGTGAGGCCACATGCAGACAGTCGCTCTCCACATGTCAGAATCAACACTGCTGCACCCAATCTTCCAGAACATTAAGATTTTACTTTGGTAAAGTTTTGTGGGTATTTCTTTTCTTTTTTGTGAGAGTCCCTTCTTTTTACCATTTCCAAATTTGAAGTTAATGTCTTTTCAACTGCCCGTATATTACCAGTCTGACTCCTCTTGAACAGCTCAGGCAACCCAGGGAAGGCAAAGGCCCACATGCTTAACTCCAAGCTCTTGGAGGGTCACTTGCCTCCACTGTCTCCCTCTCTCCACGAGTTTTGGGGAGAGGTCAAGGGTCAGAGGTAGGTCAGTGCAGCTCTTCTGTCAGCAGCTCTCTTAAGTTCCATACCTGAAACCCGAAGGCAGTGGAAATTCTAAGTTCACTTGCCAGTGAGAACGATGACTGGGAAGCCTCCCTCTCTCCTCCCTCCTCTTCACAACGAGAGGTGTTGCTTTTAAAGTGCGAGGCATAATTAGACAAAGGGAGGAAACTGTGGGTAAGCCATAGTGCTGAATCCTTACCATGGCCATCAGTACCAGGTGCTGATGGTTAGCAGCTCAGCTGAAGTGGACATTGCTAAGGCATTTAAACCAGGGCTTCTCTTGCCGTATTAACCTGGAATTTTAAAACGTTAGTTTAACTGTGACACAAAGGGGAAAATAGGGCCAATGAGCATGCTTGCACTGTGTGAGGTAAATCATGTCTGCCTGTTGAAAAACATTTCTTTTTACCCCCGATATGGACTATCAGTTAGTTTCTGATTTCCCAAGTCCCCGCTGAAGATGAGATATTGTAGAGCTGACATTTTTTCAACACCCCGGTGGATCTGTAGAAAATAAGGAGCAAACCTAAATCAGCCCTACACAAAGTCCTGGAGGGGTTTGACGCCATCAGACAGGTGTATTAGGATGGCTGTGGTCTAAAGACACCCAGGAATAACTGTGGAAAACTGATGGGGCTGCTGTCACTCACACTCCTGGAGATGAGCAATCAATGACTCCATTTAGAAAGGGTATTTTGTTTGGATCCTCTTGTCTGCGCTATTACTGGTTTGGAAAATGCAATGTGATTATCTGCAAGAATGGCACTGATTTTTTTTTAAATTTATTTTTATTTCATGTCCATTGTTGTTTTGCCTGCATGTATGTCTGTGTGAAGGTATCAGAAGCCCTGGAACTGTTACAGACAGCTGTGAGCTGCCATGTGGGTGATGGGAAATGAACCTGGGTCATCTGGAAAAGTAGCCAGTGCTCTTAACTGTTGAGTCATCCCTCCGGCCCCGGGTGACATTGATTTTCAGCCCAGCCCCCCATTTCTTCTCCTGCTTTCTCTTGGGTCTTACATTCTCTGATGAGGAACCCACAACGACCCAGTCTCTCATGATCACCTTCTGCATTCAATGCTCTCAAGGCTCCCTTGCAATGAATGGAGGCCTTAGGTGCAAGCTTGCTTTGTGTTTTAGTAAAAGACCAGATTTGTGCCTCGACATCTTCATGATTAATCATTTTTTTAAGGATGATAAAACTTCAAAATTTACTGAAATTAAGTCTTTACTCTCCCCATACACATACTCTCAAGAAGCAATGTTGACAAGAACTATTAACCCCTATTCCAGCAGGTCCATTTTATGGCCACGGGAGTGACTCCCTACCTGAGCACTGATTTCAGAGGCAGGTGGCTATGCAGGAGATCCACCCCACCATGGAGGCCTGAGTCCCTTGACACCTGGCCATGGCTCTATTTCCAATTTGTAAACGGGGGTAGGGGAATGGCAGGCCCCATCTTGTCTGGTATTGTAAGCATAGCCTGGCTTAATGTGAGAGCTTGGGAAACAGCTTTATGACATAGCAATTTTGCTAAGTGTCAGCTGCAGGGAATATTATAATTGCTTTATGGTGAACTCAGCAATACTAGAATTGCATGAAAATGTTAAAGTCTAAATATCTCCCAGGATCGGCTATTAATCATTACTGTCAGATGAGTTGAACTTCATCGATGACTTTAGATCTCTGCTAGCAGGCTGTTTTCTATTAAGGGGACAAAAGTGCACACAGTCACGGACATACATATTGTCAAAGATTTCTGTGAATAGTGGAGGGAGTAGCAAACATCTAATGCAGAAGCAGATGCAGCTTTAATGAGATTAATCATCCAATGTTACCTGCAAACAGGTAGCTTAAACAGAATGAAGACTGCAGGCGATCTGGCGTTTGGCTCCAGACCACATGTGCATGCTGGAGTGCATAGCCTGCCCTTTCCCCTCATCAGAGTAGTTCCCTTTAGGGGAGAAAGCTCTTTTTCCCAATCTGCAGATGCTGCAAATGACACTCTGCCCAGATGGGGGAAGTCATTTACTCTGACTCGTCTGAAGCAAGTGTCCTAGGATGTCAAAAATGAAGTTTTTATCGCTGTTAGGGGAATGAGCTACAGAAGCATGCCTTGCTTCTCACCCTGGAATCAGAGCCATCCCTTGAAACAGGCTGATGCCTAGTGCGGAAGACCGCAGAGAAGTTCCCTGTAGCTCCAAAAGACCCACACCATTTCCCATGGCCGTAGCTTCCTTTTTGTCTCCAATTTCTGCTGCAGTCTTAAACCTTGTATTTAGAAAACCTAGCCACTTGTTTGAAATAGCGTATGATTTACCTGAAAGGAGGGTTCCACCTCTGTTAGCACATCAGAGAGCCTTCCACAGTCAGATGAGCTACTGCGCCCCTCCGCATCACTAAAGAGACTCATCCATCCCTAAAAGGTGATTTTTCAATGAGCGAATGCGTAATGATAAAGGAAAGATAATTTTGATGACAGGGAACAAAAGGTAACCCTTTGCCTTTAAGGAGGGTCAGCAAAGGTATGGGAGCACCCAGTGGCATAAGTGGGGAGAGCTCTTTGGGAAGGCTTCTTTCATAATATAAACAAATAATTGCCTCCCTCTATGGACCTATCTCTCTCCTCTTCTGCCCTACTCTACACGTATTTAGAACGAACTAGAAAAGCTCAGAGGAGTCCAGGATGCAAGTGTGGGATGTATGAATTTGCTACTACATTCCATGGTTCCATTTTATTAAAACACTGATCAGTGGCTACATAAATCTTTGTAAGAAGAATACTGTATTAAATAGGGACCAAGAAGAGAGGAAACAAATCAGCAAAACATGCCAGGGTCTAAGACAGGCAACATTGCTTCATAATCATCTAATAGGACCCAGAGTAAAATAGCTTTAGTTTACTAATTTCATATAATTATTGAGTGCAAACTCATTGTAATATGTAATGCATGCACAATAATAAGTGTGTTTTCACTGTTTTCACAATTTGCTTTCAACAGGTTTTTTTTTTTTTGGTTTTGAGGGAAGTGAACATCAACCTTTGTAAAAAAAAAAATATCCTGATAGAGTCAGATTCTACTTGGTTAGATCTTGCTTCTATTTTGATAATTTTGAAACTGAGCAGACCCCACCCACCTATTCACTGTAACATTTCTCTTCTAGAGCCAGCCTAGGACAGACTCATATACCCTACTGATCTGGGTGCATTTCTTCAGAAGGTATGCTGCCCTCGCGGGGAACCTGGTTGGCCTGGGCTCGGGGGCTCATGGTGCTGGGAAGAAGTGAAACACATGTATTTTAGTAATAACAGCAGCAACAACAAAAAGATATCTCAGTGAAGTTAAGGACATTAGACAGTGCCCTGACCTTCCCTTGACCTTTACCTCTATTATTCCCAGAAGAATGTCTTGCTGGGGATTTGCACAGACACCTGTGTTTAGGCTGATTCAGAAAAAGCCCTTAGGGGACATCAGAGGAAGGGAAGCAAGGGCAGGATCTCAGGAGAACTTTCTTTTTGCTTAGTGATTGTTTCTGTGTATCGAGGAGGTTTAGGGATGGAGTCCAGGACCTTGTACATGTTCGGCAAGCACTCTGCCACCGACTCACACCCCAGGCACACGTGATCAATCTCTCGAGTGGGTCTCGGAAACACTGAAAGAGAAACTGAACTCCACCCTTGTCCTAACACTGTCTTCGCCCTCAGACACCAGCAAGTACAAAGGCGCCAACATTAAGAATGTCCACTCTGGCTTCCTGTCCTGCTTCAGCCAATGTGAGGCTTAAGCTGTCAAATTGCAGATTGGAGGATATTTATGAAACATGACACACCATGCCCTGCCTGAGATCTACTTCAAGTGAGGTGACTTTCATTGAAAAGGCCATGTGAACTTCTAGGACTAACTTCCTTCTACTTTAACCCATGTTCTTCTTTCAAACTGTGAGAAAATCCAAAGCGCATTGTCATTTACTCGATTCTTTCCTATCAACTTCAGAAGAAATGAATGCTCCAACCCATCTCCCACCTAAATAGAATATGGAGATGGTCCAGGCTTATGCTTGTCTCCCTTTTCCACAGTGTGGCACTGGGTGCACTTCTGAACAACAACAACCAAATTCTTCTTGCTTTTCTCAGTGCCACCCAATCTTAATTCATTTCTCATTGTCCAACACCACAAATATCATGACCCCAAACTGAACATCCTGCTGTCTAGCCCTTCTTCTTCCTTAACTTTTAAAAACGTATCTTCTCTAGCCAAAGGTCTTACTCTCGCAGTAGTTGGTCTTGTCAGACTCCGTATTAGGGGAAGAGTTGAAGAGTTTAAATGGCTGGTGAGTCATTGTGAATATAAACGATTTCAAGAGGAGACTACCTGTGCAGATCTGGATGGCTTCAGGGATATGTTTAATGCTCAGCCAGGCCAAAGTCAATATCTGCCCCTGCAATCAGGAGGAAGTCAGACACCAAGACCGTGTCATACACTTCTCTTTTGATACTGACTCCATTACCTTTTCACTTCTAAGACCCCTTAGAAGAACCATGAAAAATTTTAGTTTAAGGTAATTCCAAATATGTTTTCTTCACACCATTATTGCTCTGCTATATTGAAAACTGTTGAAAATTTGGAGAATATATGCCAGCATTCACTTCTGTTTGCTCTACTTGTGTTATATAATGTTTTAATGATCAGAGTTCATCAAGACATAATTCAATGGGGTTTTTATAATATATAAAAACTGTGGATTATTTTAAATATTAAAAAAGGCTTTCATTCTTGCTGTTCGTTCATGACAACCATTCCCTGATGCTGTCCACTTGCTAGCGATGGTTCATTCTCACCAATAATTCTCAGTAGACAGAATATACTTTTTACCACAGATATACCTAGTGTGAGCACTTTGAAGTCTCCATATAGCTTCTATTGCAATTTCCTGGTTTTTCAGTCTTTACCTCAACTGGGCTCCAGAATTGAAAAGGACAGGGGCCTCATTTCTTTGGGGTGTCACCATCTCCAGCTTCTGGCTGCTAGTATCATCTTGCCTGCTTACCAACACCCTCACTTTCCGACTCCCTCTTCCTCGGAAATGGAGAAATATATACTGCTTGTCTAATTCACCACTGAAGAGTCTTCACAGATCTACATTCACACACACACACACACACACACACACACACACGAGAGAGAGAGAGACAGAAGGGGGAGGGAGAGAGGGAGAGAGAGAGAGAGAGAGTTGATTTCCTTAATTTTCATATCCCCTTGAGTCAAATCCATTAAATCCTTGGGTTGCTAACAACAAAAGGCCTAGAGTCTATACTTCAGTCTGTGAATTCATTTTCTAAGGTTGTTGAAACAAAAATAAATTGGTAACTCTTATCTATCATCCCCCAACTTCCACATCTAGAACTCTGAAGCCAAGGAGTTAGAAGAGCTATGTTATCTCTGAGACTATTTTAGGAGGAGAATCCTTCTTTACCTCTTCCAAGGATCTGGGGGCTTATAGCAATTCCTGGCATCCCAAGGTTGTGGTGACAATATCATAGCCTCTGCGTCTGTGGTCACACAAATCCTCCTCCTTCACAACTGTCTCCACAGATACTTCAGTATCTCTCTCCCTCAGTCCCCTGGAAAATAGTCATTGTCATTTAGGTACCCTGCTCAATGAACCTTGTATCTCCAAGGATGCTACTTTTCAATAAAGTTACCTTCATGGATACCAAGTGTTAACGATACTGACTTCAGTACATCTTCTGGAATGACAGCTTACCCAGAAGCAGGCACTATGAGACATGGAGTCATCTCCAAGCAGAAAGAAATTCAAAGCATCTATTGCAGGTTCAAAGCTTATGTCATCTCCCAAACTCAACACTCCTTTCATACACACCCATACAACTAATCCATTCTGCAGGATCCAGTGAAACACTTGGGCATCTGGTCCAAACTGTTGCTGAGCAAAATTAAAGCACACAGAAGACCAGAGGAGTCTAGTCATCCTTCATTGCCACCCAGGCACTTTGGTCTCAGACAACACATGGATTCCTAAAGAATGGATGACTAGCTACAATAGTTCCCAACTCACTTTTTTCTAGATGCTATGAATCTCCTTGTAAAAAGATCACCTTGTTTTAAATTCTTTCTGCCATACTTCAATACCCTTCCTATTCACATATTGTACTTGAGATAATCTTCCAAGAGAATGGAGTTTTCTACATTTTCATATGCAACTTGATTGCTCTGACTTCGGACAGCAAGGAAATGCCCTGGAATTATTTGCGCTCATGCAAACAACTTCTAAGGTCGCCAATCTCCATTAAACTTTGTGGTTTTTTTCTGATAATTTATTTTATATAGGAAAAATGTCACTTCCTCCATTTTATGGCAATGTTTTTTACATGTATGTGCTTTTCAAGAAAAATAACACATACACAGAATAATATAAAAATAAAGATCACACATCAGGGCACAGGCAGAAGACTGCAGAATTTGTTTTCCATGATAGCAGTCAATAATAATCTGTGTGGTACTCTTTGTCTTCTGCAGTATGAAAATATGGATGGATAGGTGAATGGATGGATGTGTGGATGGGTGGGTGGATAGATAGATAGATAGATAGATAGATAGATAGATAGATAGATAGATGATAGATAGATAGATAAATGTAGAAAGAAGTAAATAGGCAAACAGAAAGATAGACAGATATTACTTCCTAATATTTAATTATTATAACAGTTTTCTGTGTAAGGACAAAGAGATTATCACTGAAAAATAAATACTGGGATGATTAATTAGGCATGACACTGGAAATATATTTTATAAATATTTTGCTAAGTCAATAGGAGAGGAAGTGATTAGTGTGGTGGCTGTTTTGCCTTATGCTGCTTTCAGAGACCATTGAAATTCCTCATCGGCAGGAACCATCTGACATGTTTTCCATTTGGAGGAATGTTCTGTTCTAAGTTCCAATTTTTCCTCTATGTTCAGTGTGCAGGGTTAGCCTCTGTATTTGAATCACCAGAATGGCATTGTATACTCAAGCAAACTCTGAATATCATTGGGAGGAGAATTTTTAATTAACCATCTGAGTTTTTCAGACTCCCATTTAAGCCATTTCCCGTGTGTGGATGCTTGGTCACAAGACAGCCTAGAAGTAGATAGGACCACAAGTTGCTTTTGTTATAAACAACAAACCACAAAAGATTCACCTACTTAGCAGTCTCGATAGGATTGATGAGTAAATATATCCATTGATTGTTTTTAAATTAATATATAATTTTGTCAGGAAGAATAAAATTGGGTAGAACTTTGCTCTGAGCTGGGAAGGGAAGGGGTCTCTTTCCAGATCTATGATAGTTAACACCATTCCCCTCCAAAGACACAGTTCCAATCCCCTAACTTCCTTTCGAGGCCCATCTCCAATATTCCTGTTAGAGACACGCAGTCCAGATACCTGCTGCCCAGCTCCAAAAGCAGGGATGCATATCAAGTGAAGCCTGAATCTACAAAATCCCATTACCTGTAGAGTAGGATGTAAGCTGAGCTCTTTCAACTTTTCATCTCTGAGATGGCCAGTATAGAGCAACTGCTGCAGTATGGACCGTATGCCCATGCTGTTAGAAGCTCAACAGGGATCTCTGACATTTTAGTTTCAGGACTAAAAAGACATTTCTGAAGGTTGTCTTGTTAGTGACAGAAATAACTAAGTCGCTGGTATTCTCTAACAACTTGTTGAATCTAAGTGCTGCCCACGTTTTGCAAAATCATAACTACCAGTGAAGCGTATGACTTAAAACATTTCCTCTGTCATCCTGATAGTGTCATGGTTAGTCACAGTTCCATCATGATGACAAAATATCTGGGCAAATCTGCTTACAGGGATCGGTTTCAGCCTACAGCTATGCAGGCCTTCTGTTGCCATTGGCCTGTGTTGATGCAGACCAGCATGGTATGGACTATGTGGTAGAGGAAGTTTTTTTTTTTAAATCCCTGAGACGCAGAAGCAGGTTGAACGAGGGGAGCGGCTAGGTGTCCACTGTCCTGTCCGCATGCACACTCCTGTTGACTTAACGTCCTCCTGCCTGGCTCAACTCTTCAACCTCTTCTACCATTTCCCAAGAGCACCATAGGACAGTGACCAACCTTTGAACCTGTAAACCTTTGGGAAATGTTTAAAGGCCAAACTGTAAAGTGTTCATTTGAGCAGACAAGGATATATTTCAAAACCG